TGTGCCTCCCCTCCCGCGGTGGCCGGCTTCTCCCAATCGTCGTCGACCTGCCCATCAGCGACGAGACCGTCCGCATCGTCGTCGTCATCGCCGGGTCGCCTGGTGAGAAGAGAAGCCATCCATGTCCTAAACTTGCTATTCTTCTTCTTTCGCAAGAAAATCATACTGTAGTTGCGTTAGTCTGAAACTTTAAGTTCAGTTGAGTGCTAATCTGCCTGTGCTGCAAAATTTTGGGTGTCTGCAAAAAATACTTCACTGAAACCGTCTAGTCTGAATCTTCTTCTAATCCCGTTTCAGTTAGGAGTTCAGACATGTGCTAGCTGCTGTAGGATTACAGACATTAACTAGTAAAAGTTTTCTGAATCAAATCAAAACCAGTGGGTGGTCAACAGGCACCACATATGCTAAAATCCACACTGAACCGTGATACGGAAACTATTGGTTTCGATTCTACTGTGCTTTGGTTCAGACGATTAAGTTCTTCAATTTAATACTACCATATGTGGTGCCGGTAGCTAGCTAGTGGAAGACTTTGGAACTTGAAAACCCAAATCAGTTCAGTCTGCCTAGTTCAGTTGAGTGCTAATCTGCCTCTGCTGGGAAAGTTTGGGTGTTCGAAACTACTCTACAGGTCTGAAAAATACTTTACTAAAACCGGTGTAGTCTGAAACTTGGAGATGTTCTGAAGTGCTGCAGGATTACACACATTAACTAGTAGAAGTTTTCTGAATCGAATCAAACACTGTGACTGTTGGATTTATGGATAGATGCTGAAATCCACACTTGAACCTTGATATGGAAACTATAGGTTTCGATTCTACTGTGCTTTGATTCAGATGATTCAGTTCTTCAATTTAATTCTATATGCCGGTAGCTAGTGGAAGACTTTGGAACTTGAAAACCACAACCAGTTCAGTCTGCCTAGTTCAGCTTCACAGAGAAGATACTGATTTCTGCTTTTTAGCCTACTGTAATTTTTTATGGACAAAATTCAGCTTCTGTTCCACAGCACATTACATTGTTTTGATGTTTTGTACATCATCTTTCTTTTTTATCTTCTTATCTGAACTTGTTGCAGTACCTGTGACACATAATGCCTAACTGCTCATCTAATTTTCTACTAATTCAGCCCACATGGCGCTACGGTATGCGGATGTCGAAGCAGAGTAGAGAGAAACCAGAGCCAGGGCCCTTTGAAGTCGCCTTCCTGTCCACCTCTTCAGAAGCGTCGCCGCCTCGGACACGATGACATCAGAACCCAGTTCCTTTTGTTGAGATATGGGTTCATGAAAACCCAGCAGTTTCTTGTGTGTCTGCTAGCTAAACTTGCTTTTCTCAACTGACAGTAGGGCACCTATTTGCTCTGGCGTCGCGGTTCTAAAATGCTGAAACTGTTCGAAAAATGGCGCAGTGACATATAGTAGTCTGTATGTTTTCGTTTTTTTTTCTTCTTTTTTTCCTTTTTGTGTGGAAGGGAGGCAAACCCCGGCGTCTCTGAAATGTATATTTCGCTTACAAGACGAATTCAACTATCCTTGCATCTTCGGTGAAAGTTAGAATTACCCATTGTCACGATTTCATCCAAATTGAACAGTCTTCAGTGAAAATGGGTGTCCATTGGCAGTTTTGCACCTGCTTTGGTTAACATTGTTTCTGTACGGACCTTGCATTGCAACTGCACCAGGTGTTAAAGTTTCTTCAGAAGGATTTGTAACGTAAGGACATAAAGGGGATGTAGCTCAGATGGTAGAGCGCTCGCTTAGCATGCGAGAGGTATGGCGGCGATCGATACCCCACTTCTCCATTCTTTTTCTTTGTTTTTTGCACACCTGAATATAATACCCCACTTCTCCAAAAAAAAAATTGCACTTCTCCAAAATTTGTTTTTGCAGATCTGACTGAATACCCCACTTCTCAAAAAAAAATTGCTGTTATTTTGATACCCCACTTCTCCAATCTTTTTGCTGCAGATCTGAATATACTGTGAAAAAAACACTCTGTTTTACTTTTGCAGACTCGATAAACAGCTCTTATCAGTCAGTCAACTACTCCATTTGCTGTTATTTTTTTGCAGATCATAATTTACTGTAAAAAAGAAATCACTATCTTGACTTTACTTCTGCAAACTCAAAAATCTCAAAAACAAATGTGCAGGATCCTTTTATATATAGACATAAAAGGAAAACACAAAGACATGTGTTCTATCTGTACTTCAAACAAAAGCAGTGCAATAATAATCACGGGCCAAGAACAAAATGTTAGTTTGTTACGATCATGATTTTGTTACCATATTTGTGTAGAGAAAAGAACGAACAAAATGATACTCGGTGATACAATTACAGCATTCTAAAAAGAAAAAGAAGAACTCGTCCAAATTTATTTCAGTCAACCAATCTCGCCAATGCAGCATCGACATCAAGACACAGTCTCAAACATTCCAGGGAAATAAACAGCTCTTATCTATACAACAGGCTTCTGTTTACGGTACCTATCTATAAATTCAGTTCCTAAAATGTCGAACATTCCCTAACAAATGGTCAACGCTGAGCGGCGGCCTCAGTATTATGCTTCACCAAATATCACCGTCATTCATCAAATATCACCACCACTAGAAATTGTTGATCCACATACTGAAGAAGATGAGGCAGTACTCCAAATCTCAACCACACAAGCAACACTGAAATCACTTGATTGTCCATCTGATGTG